TTGAAAGGGAAAACGTGGAATGTCCACATATGTCCATTTCAAGCGCATAATCACGCCAACCGGTATAGTTAACTTAAACTCATCAATGCACTCGCTATTATACTAATTTAATCTGGCAGGTCAGGAGATATTTTCCAATTATCTCTCTTTACTTTCCCGTTCTTCTATCTTTTTAAATAAAATAGGACGAGATGGAACATGGACAACTGGAAAAAACAAATATTAAGCAGCTGGCATCTTTTTGGAGGAACGTCCAGGCAATTTTCATATTCTGAAAGAAATATTCTTGTTATGGTGAAGGAAAGGAGAAGAGAATACAGTGAAAAGCGGTTTAGTCAATTTTTTCAAAAATAACAACTGTTTATTTTGAAAAGAAACAAATTTGCATCCTTTAATTTTAAGGAAAAAATTCGTACATCATTCGCATTACACATCGCTGGAATAAATTTTATTGCAGTTGCTTTTATTATTTATGACTGGAAACTGAAGTATTTTAAATTACAAAAATCTTTCATTAAAATGAATGGTTAATGTGACAAAATTGTCATGAATTTTTCGGCATTTTTTAGTAAATGCAAACAGTCGAGGAAGATCTCGGGCAGCCACGTACCGGATGCCAAGTATGGAAGACTGAAAGATGTAAACAGTTTAATTCACTCGTCGGTTACTAAATCTAATTGGTTTGACCACTTGCCTTTAATTTCTGAAATTTAGTCTCATGTAACAACGGATTAATGGTTGGCAATGTTACTGTGACAGGTGACATTATTGTAACACATTGAAATGCAAAATAAAACTTAACATCTGCGATATCATTTCCTTCTGAAAATCTCTTTGTAATTTCATTATTCTCTTGTTAGAGTTGTGTGAGCTAACTAGTACAAAAAAAATTTTAAAGAAAAGGAATAAAATCCAACACTTTTTTAAATTAAAAAGAAAAATAATTAAAAAGCGAAGTGGATATGAAAAATTATTTGAAAGCTAATTTTAATAACTATTTTCGTTTCATTGCCTGAGCCTTACTGCACAATGAATTATGCATCCAAAAAAGCTCTAAATTCCCAAATGAAAAAGAAAAGAATATGCGGCAAAAATCATAAGAATCAATAGAACTGATGAAATTGCAATTAAATCTGATAGACAACTTAAGCAAAGGCCAACGACCCTGTTATGTGCTTTAGAAAATAGAAAATTTCAGCGAAATTTGATGTAACTTGCACTACGTACTACATATAACATTTCATAAATTGATAAATTTTTATCAGAAGTTTTCATGATAAATAACAAATATCAAACAATGTGTTAGACAATCTAAAAACGAGACATCTATCATTTTAATAGCAAGCTTATTTGAGCTTCTCCGTTAGCTTATTGAAATTGTGAAGCGAGGATCAAATGGGACATTGTAAATGAAAGTTTGATCATTTATTGACGATCAGTACTTCAATGATGCAAGTAGGCACTTTTCGTTGTTGAAAATGCATATAGGCAATTTCCAAGTAATGTATAGCCAACCAATTTTTTGAAACTTTTTGAGATGGATATTTAGACTAATAAGTGAAGTGGAAATCATTTAATATCTCTCATTGATTTTTGGCCATAACTTCACAGAGATGTGTCGTATGAGAGTGTAAAATTAGCGCTCGGAACATTAGTCTCGCAAAAACTAGACCTCCTTGTTTCATGTAAAATTTCGAATTTCTCTGTGCCTGATAACGTTTGGCCTTATGTCGAGAGCGTCATGATGTACCTAGGTGTAGGGTTCCGCTAGCTGAACCTAATTATTGAATAGAAGGGAAGAAAGAGCGGAAAAAATATAGAAGTGATAGAAGGCAGTGATAATTGTACTGGCAGCGCAGTGCTTTTCATCACTTCCACTCCTTTTATTATCTCTCCCACATTAGCATCACTCTGGCAAGCTGTCGTGAGTTCACAGGGAAATTTCCAAAATTCCACAGTGCAAAAGAGTTTTTTTGAGAGTTCGCTGGGTGAGATATCGCTCTGAGATCGCCAATCTGACAGAAGCCGCCTCTCCTCCCCGTGCCTTCCTCCGATGGCTAACAGCACCACACACACACACACACACACACACAACACCGTCCAACCATCATTTGTTATCTAACCATTCGTACTCATTTGTCCCAAGGCTCATATGATAAGCTCATATGAAAAGGAGTGAGGCACGCGATAAGAATTCTCTCCGGCAATCCCGAGAATTCTTCACAAGGCTGGAGAGTAGCCAAGTGACCCCAATAACACCAAGTGACCTCAATGATTCTCCTTGCTTTCACGAAAATTGGCTACTTTATCGGAGGATGAAAATCGCTCCTTACCACCAATTATCTGTGGAAAAACGAATCGAATAGAAATCATTTACTGCACAGCAGATTTAAATGAACCAATAAAAGTATCACTGAGGACAAATGGACAGAGTGGTTTGTCTGACTGGCTCCATGTCAATCTCTTCAGGGTTGAACAGTGTGGTCCTCAAAAAAAAATTTCCCCTTCGTAGGGATCTTTTTCTGTCCCTCTCTCCCTTTTGCTGCTAAGCACAGCATTATGAATTAATAAACTTTATGAAAGCCCCTCTTCCATAACCCTTTCTCTCCACACTTTTATAATTATTGAAAATTGTAAGAGAAAAAGAATAGCTAAAAGAGAGACACGCTATGACATGTTGAGGACTAAAAGGAAGAGAAATGGAGAAAGGATACATCTATTTATAAATGGCGGGACTGGCCAGTCGGATCGCTTGACCATTGGTCATTCTGGCAACTGAATCAGCAAACAACACATATTGAATAAACTATTGTAGCATTAATCGGAAAATGCGTTTTCGACATATCTTTCTCTCAATGCCCCCGACTCCTTATCAGCTTCATATGATTTTTTTGTTAATATATTCACGTTACATTAACTTTCGGTGTTTACTCGGAACTTCTGATAATATGCTCCGTCGTGCTTCATTGCTTCTATTTTCTCAATACTGAGAGCAAGGATGAAAGAGAGGATTTGGAAGGCGTTTTGTCCGATCCTTTAAAATGAACTGCGCTCCAACAAGCAATTAATTGCAGAACTTTTCGACTCAATTAAAAAAGGAAAAGAATATTTCTGTCTTCATCGGGTAAGTAAAAATGAACCGTGGAAGGAGGACAAAAGTACGAAGTGTTTGTCCAGAAGTAAAGGACAGGTTAATAGGTCTGAATGACAGACGGAATATTAAAAGGCCTTATTGATGAGCTCATTTTCCATTTGAACTTCCCGCTCACATTTGCCTCGACAATTTCACAGGAAAGTGAGGAAGGAAGAGAGTGGCTTGCTTTACTGTCCTATCTCCCGCTCCTACCAGATGGTTCCATCCACCTGCTACTCTTCAGGAGAGAACATTCATGAAGATTGCTTTCGATAAACATTAAAGAATTACGTTTACTAAAGAATTTATAATATTAAATTGAAGTGTCATCCTTATCCATTGTAGACGTGTCATCTTCCCTAAAGCATGACTCATCCCAATGCAAAGGAGAGACAGAGAGGAATGAAATATGGTTTGGAGAATAGAATAGGTGTATTTTGTTTAAATAAGAGAAAGGAAAAGAGGGAAGCAATTTTGTTTCGACTAAAATAAATGTAAAGAAATAATGAAAGTAAGGGAAGGAAAGATTTACATGATTTGGCCCGTTTCAGTTATGAAAGAGCTTTCAGGCCATCAATTACATATTTATCCCAAATCTATGTAATGCGCAATTTGTACTACTTGATTATGCTTTGATTCCAACAGATAGAGTTTATAAGTCGTAATCAACCAAACATTTACACTATCTGATTTTGTTTCGAATAAATCAGTGAAAAGTGTTGAATTTTCTATAACTCGAAACTTAACTCATAACTGATTGTTTACTGAGTTCACAGTTAGCATTCTTATCACTTTTTTCGTCACAGAATCATAAGAATTAACAATTACATTAAATTCTTGTTTATTAGTGAAAATTTTTTCACAAAATAAAATATAGTGTTCCTGCGAGATTTGCTTGGCATATCGGGAATCGGCTTTTATACCACACATTTATCCTGCTCGTTCTCATATCACGATTGCAGCAGTGAAATGAGGATAGAGTGATCAGGCCAAGGTAAATTGAGAGGAAGGAAGCAAAATATTTGAAGAGAGTACGTATTACGAAACTAAAAAGGAAGCATAGATTTTTCATAAAAAGAAAGATCTCTCATATAAGGATATTGTGACGAAAAGAAACTTCCTTCGGGGTTAAACAAAGAAAGAAAAGATATTTGAATGTGCATTAAGACTAAGAACAGTTTAGACTTAAATGAGAGCAAAAACAGTAATGGGTACCCGAAACAGAAAAACGGCACTGTCTCGGCAGCATGTAAATTGAAGGGATGTGCGAAGCACAGAGGAGAGGCAAACCAATGGTTCCCAATTGCTTTTCGTCTCTAAATAATGATGAAAAACCTGTGTGCATTGCGGTCCAGTACCTATAATAATAATGTCTGCCGTCCGCAAATTCACTGGTGAAAATTAATTCGAATTCTACCAATGTTAATGAAATTCGTGCACTGCTGTTTTCGAAAGAGAAACTCGCAGAATTACTTCGTAGGATAATGCAAATGTCAAGCGGCTAGTTAACAACTCACCATCTCAACGATGATCGATTTCCCGGGTATTAGTACCGATCACTCGTTTACTGCACAATTTAGCAATTCCCAGCAGGTAATTTAAATTTTACTTCACTTTACAACATCTTATCATTAATTTCTATCAAAGCTAAATAACTTCATGCTGAATTTCAAGATGATGCCTTATCGTAATGTTGTTAACAGCACTTCAAACACACAACTGGACGATACCGTTTATTTATACGTTCAATAGTGGAATGACTGTATACAAATCAAACGATCCTGTCGTACGAAAGTTTTCAAGAGATTTATTTAGTTTCGTGATAAAGCATTGAAATCAACAAATTAATTACTTGAAGCTAAATTTTTTAAAAACCATTAGGAAGCAAATCAGATCCACTTATTGCTTCCACCAATATTTCCAGACTAAAAGCACACTCCAATTCGTCGGGGCACGCAACAACCAAAGCACATGAGGAATGATGTCATATCAGAGAGCTTATATGAGTCTCGCAAGAATTTGCCTCAAAAGATTTCAATATCAATTTATCAAGATAATACTGGGAACATTTGGGAGCGAAAATAAATCTTACTGCAATAAGTAACAATGAAAAAATTTAAATTTCGGCAAATTTCCTCATTTAATTTCGGCAAATTTCGTGCTCTGGTTAATGGTTTGATCTCTATCCTGTGCAACAGTCAGTCTCTGTCACGATGACTGGTTTGACGCCGTTTTTTTGGCCACCAACGTAGGAGATCAGGATCAAGGAGTAACTTAGGTGGTCGTCCCATATTAATCGATTTGCAGTGCTCAACAAGCCGTCGTGTCATACGTACAACATGATCACCTTTCCAATACTTGATTAACTGCATTGTTTGTAACGTTGAAATTATATCATCTTCGGCCACACCAGACGCAGAACTCAAATCTGATACCTGAAATCGAAAATCAATATTCAGCAGTATGTGCCATTCTCTCATTCCTTTTATCTTTCAAAAAGTATAACATGAACCTGTCAAGATTTCACACTCTTACTGGTTAAAAATAAGAGCACTGGTAGTTAACTGAAATTAATTGGTAGGTTCAACTATGAAAATAAAACTTG